TTCAATTTGCACATTTCTTTCAAGTTTGGTGATTGCTTTCTACCCAAATTTAGCGCCACTGAGTGAGAATTATTGCAATATTTGGCAAGTACAAAGTCTTTCCAAAGAGAATTCATTGTTCTCAAGTTCTACCAAGATTTTATTGTAAAAGCTTTGCAGATGTCTTCAAGTTTTCTAAACTGAACCCCTCCCTCCTTATATGGATAACATAGTTTCTCCCAGGCTGCCCAATGGTGCTTATCCAACCCATCAGAGGAGTTCCAAAAAGATCTTGTAAATATCTTTTCTATTTGATCCAGTACTCCTTTAGGTGGATGAATGGTTGATAACAAATGTGTTGGCAAGGCTAATAGAACATGTCTTATTAGAACGACTTTACCTCCAGGTGACAAAAGTTTAGTCCGCCAACTCCTTACTCTGCTTGTCACTTTACTCACCATTTCTGAGTAGTAAGCCATCTTTTGTCTGCCTGTGAAAAGGGGGCATCCTAGGTATTTTATTTGTAATTCTTTCTGATGCATTCCTATAATTCTGGCCACTCTATTCCTTGCCCTTAGTGATGCTCCTGGTGCTAATACAAACAACTTTTATTTTTATTAATTGCCTGACTTGAAGCAACCTCATACTCACCAAGTTTGGCCATTATTAACTGTAAAGTTTTCGTCCTTCCGCTGGAGAATATAATTACATCATCTGCAAAAGTAAGGTGATTAATTTGTGGTCCACCTCTCCCCATCGAAAAGCTATTGAATTCCCTATTTGCATACAGGTTATTCAACATAGTTGAGAGTAGTTTTGCACATATGACAAACAAAGATGGTGATATTGGATAACCCTGCCATAACCCATTCCCAGATTTGAAGAAACCATATGGTGATATTGGATAACCCTGCCATAACCCATTCCCAGATTTGAAGAAACCATACCTTTGCCCATTTACTATCACTGAGTATCAATTATATTTTATATATCTGGATATTAAATTTATCCATACTTCTGAGAATCCCAATCGCCTCATCATTTGATATAAGAACGACTACGCAACCCTATCATATTCTTTAGTCATGTCTAGCTTCGTTACAACATTTCTCCCATTTTGCTTCTTCCCAATTTCATTGATAGGCAATGTTTTAGCTCCCTAATAGGCAAATCAGATTTGACTTTCAACCGAAACCAAATCAATAATTAATTTTATAAAGTAATCAGTTAGCATCAATGTTTTAACATGGATTAACCAAAAAAAAGAGTTTTCTAACTTCGTGTATAATGATGCAAATGATTGAACATGCATAGCCTAAATATTGCAGTAGAGTGAAGATATAGAAATGCATTACTAGAAATTCGGCAAAAACCGACCAAGGTCGACCGACCAACTTTGGTCGGTAAAAAAACCGACCAAAAAATCGACCAAAGTTGGTCGGTTTTTTAATTTTTTTTTAATTTTTTTTTTCCGAAACCAACCAACTTTGGTCGGTTTTCTTTGGCGCAAAAATGCGGGAAATTATTTTTGAGTCCCGCGAAATTTATGTTTCAAGAAACCGACCAACTTTGATCGATTTTTCAATTAATATAAATAAAAATTAATATTAAAAAAACCGACCAAAATTGGTCGGTTAATTCGGCGGGTCATTTAAAAAAACCGACCAACTTTGGTCGGTAATTTTACTTTTTAATAAAACCAACCAACTTTGGTCGGTTATTTTCGTGCGAAAATACAATTAAAGAGTATAAATCAAATAAAAGACAGTCTTAAAATAAAATGTACAAATGATCTAGTGGTAGAATAGTATCCTGCCACAGTATAGACCCCGGTTCGATTCCCAGATGGTGAATTTTTTTTTACATAATTAAAATACCGACCAACTTTGGTCCGTTTTTTTTTTGCAATATTTTTTATTTGAATTTAATTGACCAACCAAAGTTGGTCGGTAATTTCCGACCAACTTTGGTCGGTATTCCTTTCCGACCACAAAAATACCATCCACACGTAAATGGTCGCATTTTGGTCGGTTTTTGGCCATTACCGACCAACGTTGATCGATTTTTTTGATCGGTTTTTACCGAATTTCTAGTAGTGATGACTTGCTAGCCTTAAACTAATGAAATGACTTGCTATGAAAAGTGGCATCTTTGTTGCAAACAAGAAAATTATTCAAGTGTTTCCTCAGTCGCATTTAATATTTATTAACAAGTCATCACGGTTACGCATAGCAGTAAGTAGGGATATACAAAGAAAATCGATAAACCGCACCAACCCGATAATCCGAGTCAAATCGAAAACAAAAACGATTGTGATTTGGTGTTGAAAAAAAATCCGACCATAATTGGTTTGGTTTGATTTTAACTAAAAAAGTCAAACCGAAACCAAACCAACTCCACATTACATTTATACAATTTTAAAAAATATTTTATGCATATAAATATTTATTGTAATATAATTTATAAATATTTCTTAAACTTGTTCACAATTTTATCTTTAAAAGTATTATTTAATGTTTGGACTTAGCATTCTTGAATGGTCCAATAAATTTTATAGCCCATAAATGTAGTAAGTCAAATAAAATTCAAATCAATACCAATGCTAATAAAGGAAATTCAATTCAACAGTAGGAATGACAATAGTGTTGGATATGGATTTCTTTTTTAGTTTGCATTGATTTATAATGAAAATGTATAACCTAGTTTATCTTTTTTTTAATGTTCAGTTGTGTAATTAATAGTACTTATTAGTTGTACTTATTTTAGCACAACCTATATAGTATTTTTAGATTATGTTAATTTTTATTATGGTGTATTAATTAGTAATATTTTCTTTGTGCGATTTTATTATCTATGTTATTGAATATTTTAATACAATGTTATGGCTCATCTCATATTATTATTTTATTTTTTTGGAAAATACATTATATAGTTGTATCCTACTAGGACTAAAATAAATATTTGGAGCATAAGTTACATATTTTGTGCTATTAAGACTTTACCGGAGAAAAATTCGAAAACCCGAAAAAAATTGAAAAGCCCGAGAAAACCGAGATTGAAAAATCCGACTTTATTGGTTTGATTTGGTTTATAAATTTAAAAACCCGACACCATTGGTTTGGTTTGGTAATTGAATAATCCGAACCAACCCGACCTATGTACACCCCTAGTACTAAGTATTGTGGTTTTCGCAGTTACTTTTGTTAGGATCGAAATAATCAGGTGTCATGCGGAAGCTAGTAAAGCAAACCTTGAACGACGATAAATCAAAGAACAAAAGAGAAATATACCAAAAGAGACACAAACATTTAATGTGGTTCGCTCAATTGACTTACGTCCACGGCGGAGATGAGCAATCCACTATATAAAAGAGAATACAAAATATCGAAAGAACAACCTCACAAAGAGGCAAACACAAGTGACACACTAACACTTGTCCCCTAAAGTTCTCACCATAAATACGACTCTCAAACCCCATATGGCTACATTGTAGATGCTATTAAATGAGAAGGAAGGATTCTCAATTTATAAACGTCTAAAACCTTTTCCTCCGAGAAAAATGATTAGCCGAATATGGAAGAATATAATTTTTCCTTTCGTAAAAGGAAAAAAAAATTATGGTAAATATGTTGCCCTTCCTTCAAGAAATAGGAGAATCAAATATGGTAAGAAAATCAAGGCAAACACCTAACAATTCTCTCCCTTGGCCTGAATTTTATGACAAAATAAACTTGATCTACCTTCGTCACATAACCTTCAACATGTCGCATCTCCAAATATCCTCCACAAAATTTGTCTCAATATGAGTAGCACTCCGGTCAAATTTCTCACACAAAATCATGATTATCGCCAAATAGGTTACGGCTAGAACTAAACCCGCCTAGATGAATCTGTCTTGAACCTCGCTCTGATACCACTTATTAGGATTGAAATAATCAGGTGTCATGCGGAAACTAGTAAAACAAACCTTGAACGATGATAAATCAAAGAACAAAAGAGATATATACCAAAGAGACACAAATATTAAACGTGGTTCGGTCAATTGACCTATGTCTACGACGGAGATGAACAATCCACTATATAAAAGAGAGTACAAAATATCGAGAGAACAATCTCACGAAGAGGCAAACACAAGTGACACACTAACACTTGTCCCGTAAAGTTCTCCCCTTAAATACAACTCTCAAATCCCATATGGCTATATTGTGGATGCTACTGAATGAGAAGGAAGGATATCCTCAATTTATAAGTCTAAAACATTTTCCTCCGAGAAAAAGGATTAGCCGAATATGAAAGAATTTTATTTTCCTTTTCGTAAAAAAAAAAATCAATTATGGTAAATATGTTACCCTTCCTTCAAAAATAAAAGAATCAAATATGATAAGAAAATCAAGGCAAACATCTAACAACTCTTTTCTTGAAAATGAAAAGTTACTTTTACTGTTATTATCAAATGCGAAAGTGAATTCGAACAAATTCATATTATTGTATCCAAAAAAATTATTTCGTTGATTGCTTAAAATATTGAGAAAACACCAAATTTTAAGCAATAACCCTACTCGGTTATTGTCCCTTTGGTCACATCCGATAAACTATGTAATCTATGGGATTTTTTGTTCCTTTTATTAGCGTGGCAAAAAAGCTTTTTCCCCTCCTTTTGCCACAACAATGATTTTAAAAAAAGGGAAATAAAAAAGTCGCTGAAATAATAATCCCAGATTGGTAATAAAAAGAAGGGATTGGACACTTGAAGGTGTAACTTAATAGCGAATAATGAAGTGGGTAGAAATAGATAAAATTTCAATAGAGACAAAAATTGTCACTAGGTGATTTTTTTTTTCTATCTAACTAAATGCCTTGTTAAATAAAATTATCCAAAAGTAACAAGCTGCTTGCTAACATAGTCGAAATATACGTAAATTGGCTTGAGAAGCACCTTTATCAAATAAAAAATAAAAGACAGGGATTGGGAGTATAAATATGAATGCAGATTATTTGGAACACTCAGCACTACTTATATGTTAAAAGGATAACAAGCGGATTCTTTCATTACATGCTGCATCAAATTGACATGTATATGGAGTCGAGGACCCATAGAAGAACTAAAACTCCCCCACTCAAAATACATGTTATAATATATTAAAAAATAAAAAGGAACAACAAATCTAGGTACTGGGACATTACCTTAATATATTTCAATGGAAAAATTTATGTAAAGGCAAATCAAAGTCTATGGTTAATATTTAACCATAGAGTCCAGTAACACCAACTAATTTGGTTAGTCCAAATGTGATTCCCATAGCCAACCAACCTCCAATCAACACTCTCAATGAAGACTTCATTAGTGGTGCATTCCCTAAGTATGCACCTAACCCTCCAAACATCAAAAGTGCAAAGCTTACAGCAGCCACTACAATCCCTAACCTCACATGATAATCTTTAACAAAAGCAGCAGCCAACAAAGGTACTATTGCACCTATTGCAAATGCAAAAGCAGATGCTGCTGCAGCTTGTAATGGACTTGGCAACTTCTTCTTTTTTTCCTCTAACTCATGTGTACTTGCATTATTTTCTCTTTTCATTTGTGACACTTCTATGTCATATTGTGAATAAACGGAGACAAATTCTCCTATGGCCATGCTACAAGCTCCGGCCACGAGACCGGCGATTCCGGTGAGGATCATGGCCTTTGCGTCTTGTTTTACAGCCCCAATTCCCATCATTAGAGATGAAGTTGAGAGTAAACCATCATTTGCACCTAAAACTGCAGCCCTAAGCCACTGTGCTCTTTTGGAGTAATCTACGGCTATCTCAACCTCATCAAGATTTTGATCTACTTGCATGGATTGTTTCTCTATGTCATTATTTTTGGCTAATTCTTGGCTATTTGTTATGGACGCCATGAAAGGAAAAAAAATGAGAAAATTAAGCTTATAACTTTGTGTTGTGTAAAGGATAAGGAGAAGTGTGGAGGGCACACGCCAGGGTGGTGATATTTATAGGACATAATGTGGAGAGATATATGAAGATGTTTTAATTAGTGGAGTACTCTTTATGTAAAGGAATCTGATGCATTCACATTAATTTCTAGTGGTTTTTATGATTCCTTTTTGTAATTTTGATGTTTAAGGCTAGTATGTGTGAGATGAAAATTCGAATAAATCATATGGGTGTTGATGAGCTGGACGTAAAGATTATCAGAATAAGTGTAATCATATTGTATGCAAGGAATGTGATTAAGAACGTAGCAAAGTTTAATTTGAGAACTCTTCGTTTATGGTTTAGAACTTTAGTGTTCCTTTTTTCTAGTCTTTACATCTGTTTCGTACCTTTTTTATAATCAAATGAAAGTATATACTCTATTACCGAGCAGGGTAATATGATGGTAAATCTTTTTTTTTACTCTTAATCAAAACTCTTAAAAATTCGAGCCGCGAACACAAGAGTCTCTTCATAGAGATAGTTTATCTCGCTTAGTGGGTTTATTTGGTATTAGATTAGTCAAACTAGTAGATTTTGAATACTAGATTATTAAAGCAAAAGAAGAAGAAGAGCTAATTATATATTTTGTACTACTAATTATTATACCACAAAATACCTATTTTCTTAATGAGTTTGCTTTTATATGAAAAATTATCCCTTGTAGTTGCTTAAAAAAAGGGAGGCCCCGCTAATTTTTTAAACTCACTTTGGTTTGGAAGGCCAGCATCGATTTCCTTTTTATTTTCCTCACAAAAGTAAACAATCTAAATATCGCGTTTTGAAAGAGCTAATTGTTAGGATCGGAAAATCTGGTAGTGCAGAATTTAGTCAAACAATATTATAATGACAATGATAAAGACAATGCAAGTTGATAATAACGGCAATTAAAGAAGATAAAGAAGACACAAATTTAATGTGGTTCGGTCAAGTTGACCTACGTCCACAATCGGAGAGGATCAATTTCATTATACCAACAAGAGTACAAAAGAGAGTACAAAATTAGAGTAAATACTCTAATTAGTCCCAAATACCCCAAGAGAATAACCTCACAAGATCAGTCCAAAGAAAGGGTTCACACAAGTGTTTCCCAACACTCACTCTCTTACAAAATACTCTATAATAAAATAAAGGAGGAGAAAGAAAGACAAGAGTGAAAAGCTCTTGAATTGGTGTGTTTACAAATGATCGGAGAAGCTCCTCTATTTATAGCAAGAAATCCTTGACCTAATAGTGGATATTATGTCATGACAAATGTCATGATCCACAAATTTTATTATAGTGGATATTATGTCATGGTAAATGTCATGAAAATTTGGCCCCCACTTGAGAAGAAGCCAAATTAATGGCCATATTACAAATCTCCACCTTGGCCTAATTTCGGTTTATACATAGTAAATTTGCTTCACCTTCTCCGCAAAAAATCCAATGGGCAAAATCATTCTTCATAAATGCCAATCAAATTCAGGCAAAGCTTGAGCTTGGACACTAGAAGAGGTTTTGTGAACATGTCAGCAGGATTGACTCTAGTGTTGATCTTCTGAACAGAGACTTTTCCTTCAGCAATGGTTTCTCGGATGAAATGATACTTTATATCAATGTGCTTCGTCCTCTCATGATACATCTGATCTTTAGTCGAGTGAATGGCACTTTGACTATCACAGAAAATGGTAAGACCACCTTGGTGTGAACTGAGTTCCGCAAATAGACCCTTCAACCATAAGGCTTCTTTGATTGCCTCTGTCACTGCCATATATTCTGCTTCGGTAGTAGATAAAGCTACTACATGTTGTAATGTAGCTTTCCAACTAATAGCGCAACCACTAATGCAAAATACATAGCACTTCGGCGATCTTCTTTTGTCAAGATCACCTGCATAATTTGAGTCTACAAAACCAACCAAAGTGTTAGTATTTCTCCCAAACTCCAAATGTGTGTTTGAAGTACCTCGCAAGTGTCTGAGAATCTATTTCACAGCCTGCCAATGTACTTTACCAGGGCAAGCCATATACCGGTTTACCACGCTCACTGCTTGTGAAATGTCTGGACGTGTACAAACCATTGCATACATAATACTGCCGACTGCACTGGAATAAGGAACCTGTGTCATGTACCTCTCTTCTTCCTCTGACTACGGGGATTGAGCAACTGATAACTTAAATGAGCAGCAAGAGGAGTACTAACTGGTTTAGCATCTTTCATGCCAAACCTCTCCAAGTACTTCTTCTGGGTCAGAAATAGCCTGTTGTCTTTTCGATCTCTTTTGATCTCCATGCCAAGGATTTTCTTAGCTGCTCCAAAATCTTTCATCTCAAATTCACTTTTCAGCTGACCTTTCAAATTGTGAATTTCTGTTAAATCCTTAGCAACAATGAGCATGTCACCAACATATAATAATAGGTACACAAATGAACCATCATTTAACTTCCAGAAGTAAACACAACTATCATTCATGCTCCTCGAATAATCATGACCCAACATAAAGGAATCAAACTTTTTATACCATTGTCTTGGAGACTGTTTTAATCCGTACAAGAATTTCTTCAACAAGCAAACATGATCTTCTTTTCCTTCAATTTCAAATCCTTCGGGTTGATGCATGTATATTTTTTCCTCAAGTTCGACATGTAAGAAAGTTGTCTTAACATCAAGTTGTTCTAATTTCAAATCATACATGGCAACGAAGGCAAGCAAGACAAGAATAGAGCTATATTTAACTACGGGTGAGAAAATTTCATTAAAATCAACTCCTTGTACCTGACTAAGCCCTTTGCAACTAATCGTGCCTTATACCTCGCATCTTCAACCCCTAGAATACCATCCTTTTTCTTGAAGACCCATTTGCAACCAACAATTCTTTTTCCTGATGGCGGCTTCACAAGAGACCAAGTACCATTCTTATGGAGAGACTAGATTTCTTCATTCATTGCAATCAACTACTTGGCTGAGTCAGCACCAGAAACTGCTTCTGAATATTTTGATGGTTCTCCAATTTCTTCAGTTTTCTGTGCAACTGAAAAGGCAAATGCAACATAATCTTCAAACCTTAATGGTTGTTTACCTTCTCTTCTTGGTGTATGTTTGGATATAGAATACTCCTCTTCTTCTGGTTCAACTTTAGGAGTCTCAACTTTAGGAATTTCAGCTTCTCGCTCAACTTCAGGAGTTTCAACTGTTTTTTGCTCAAAAGTTGATGAGCTTGGCTCAGAAGGAATGCCAATCTCAATCTCCACCTGGTTCTGTGTATTCTTTCCTTTATCTGTATTATAAGAACTAGAAGACTCTTTTCTAGAATGTAACATAGAGGATTCATCAAAGGTTACATCTCTGCTAATTATAAATTTTGGTGCCGTGGGATCAGGATACCAAAGTCGGTATCCTTTTACCCCAAAAGCATACCCAAGAAAAATGCATCTTTTAGCCCTTGGCTCTAATTTTCCATCATTTACATGCGTGCATGCAGGGCAACCAAATATCTTTAAATTAGAATAATTAGCAGGAATACCTGACCGCATTTCCTCTGGAGTCTTAAAGTTCAAAGGTGCAGAAGGAACTCGATTGACAATATAACAAGCTATAGAGATAGGTTCTGCCCAAAAGGCATTTGTCAACCCAACATTTGAAATTATGCAACGAGCCCTTTCCAAAAGAGTTCTATTCATCCTTTCTGCCACACCATTTTGCTGAGGTGTCATTCTCACAGTACGATGTGGAGCAATTCCTTCATTCTTGCAAAATTCGTTGAATTCATCATTACAAAATTTCAAGCCATTATCTGTTTTAAGCCGCTTAACCTGTTTTCTTGTTTGCTTCTCAATCAAAACTTTCCATTGTTTAAAATTTAAGAAAACATCACTTTTATTTTTCAGGAAATAAACCCAAACTTTTCTTAAATAATCATCAATGAAAGTTAACATATATTTGGCACCACCTTTTGATGGGGTACGTGAAGGACTCCAAAGATCTGAATGAATATAATCCAAAGTACCTTTTGTTCTATGAATTGCTGGAGATTTGAAGCTGACTCTTTTCTGCTTCCCGAACACACAATGTTTACAGAACTCCATATTTCCGGTACTTTAGCCACATAAGAGACCTCTTTTGCTGAGGATGGAAAGACCATTTTCACTCATATGCCCCAATCGCATATGCCACAATTTGGTGATGTCAGAATCTGATTTATCTGATATTGAAACTGAAGCAGCACCTGTAACAGTAGATCCCAAAAGAGTATACAACGTACCAAATCTGCATGCTTTCATGATCACACGATCACCATGAGAAATTTTCAGAACTCCACCTTCACCTGTGTACTTGCACACAAGAGATTCTAGAGTGCCCAAAGAGATGAGATTTTTCTTCAAGTCAGGAACATGTCTAACATCAGTGAGAGTTATCACCACACCATCGTGCATTTTGATTCGGACTGTACCTTTTCCAATAGCTTTACAGGCAACATTATTGCCCATCAAGACAACTCCACCTCCAATAGATTCATATGTGGTAAATAAATCCCGATTGGTACACATATGATAAGAACAACCGGAATCTAAAATCCACTCATTGTTAGATTTGAAACTATTATTAGTTGCTAAAAAAATAGTTCCCTCAGTCTCATCAGCAGCTACACTTGCTTCGGTAGTGTCAGTATTTTTGTGCTCATTTTTCTTTTCTGTATGCTTTTCTTTATTTTCAATTTAAAGCATTCAGAAATAATGTGACCTTTCTTATGATAATATTTGTACATGACATTTCTGTATCTGGATTTTGATCTTGATTTAGGTTTCTCACTATTTGAATCTTTCTTATTGGATCTACCTCTTATGAATAAATTTTTTCCTTGGTTCCCACTAGTTTCCCCAGTAATATCTCTATCTATTTGTTCTTTTGATTTCAAAATAGATTTGATATCTTTATAAGAGATATTATCCTTTCCATAAAGCATAGTATCTCTTATATGTTTAAACGATTGGGGTAAGGAAACAAGCAATAACTCAACTTGATCCTCATCTTTGATTTCAGCATCTATGTTACTTAAATCCATAAGAAGAGAATCAAAAGTATCAAGATGTGTAAGTATAGAGGTACCTTCAGCCATACGAAAAGTGTAGAGTTTTTGCTTTAGGTAAAACCTGTTTTCTACTATTCTTTTCGTACATAGGGTTTTAAGCTTTTCCCATATGCCTTTGGCTGAGCTTT